AGGAGCAGCCAAAGAATAAATGGGATGATGAGGATGTGGATGACGATGATGTGAAGGAATCTTGGGAGGATGATGATGAACCTGCACCGGTGAGAATTTATTGATTTTCTTGCTAATGATGTTTGTTTCATTTAGTATTGATGTTAAGACTGAAGATAATGCCGAAGGAGAATTTGGGTGATTCTTAATGATCACTACAGACTGCTAAGGGTCTAAACCACTCCAATGTTTTAAATATTGTGGTGAATTGTTCATTCTAAGGGTAGAAATCATTAATAGTTGTAGGAAGCTTTTTTAATATTCCTAAAACTGGCGGAAATGGAAGTCCCTTTTCCTTTATTTTGAAATTTTGTGGAGCTCATGTAGAAACTACATTTTGTTAAGGTTGGGGTTGGCATCAGTACATGGTTTTGAGAAGATGAATGGTTCAGAGCATGTAAAATCTAATAAAATCTCTAATTCTTTAGCTTGAGTAACTCGTCCATTGCCTGATGTATCTGTAAATTTGTTACCCCATTTCTTCTTTTGTCTTTTTGGTCTCACAGGCTCCAGTAGTTAAACCTCCTCCAGAAGCCGCCTCAAAGAAACCTGCCGCAAAAACCATTGAAAAAAAAGGAAAAACTTCCGAGGTGGAACCTGAACAGCCTCTAGATCCATTAGCTGAGAAACTTCGCCAACAAAGGTAATATTAGTTTGCTTTGGTTTTTTTGGAACTCTTAGCTCAACTTATATCTACTTATGGTTCTCTGGAAGGAAAATAATTGAAGCAGGAATTTGAACTTAAAACATTTTATGAATTATTTTATTGTGACGGGAGAATGATCCTTCCTACCAATGTTGTGTAGACAAAGTAGGACATTGGAGTAACTATTTTGAATTTTCTTTTTATGCTATCTTGTCCATTCCAGATCTCTTTTTGTCGCAGAATTATCTTACTCATTACTTCTCTTCTGAAAGCAGGCACCATTCCTGTTAACAATAAATGAGAAAAAGCATTCTATTTGTCTACATTTTGTGCAAGTGTTATCAAACAGAACTAGATGACTGGTTTAATAATTATTGGCCCTTTTTTTAAAGCATAAATAATGGTCCAATACTTGGGACTTCTCATTGAATATAAATCTTTGAATTATGAATGTTATGCTCTTCACGATCTAGGTTGATTATGAGCGTTTGGTTTACTTCATACTGATTTAGGAAAAGTTATAAAGAACTGAGAGATTTCTTATGGAAGAAGTTGCATTTGGTGTGATGAGGTTGGTATAGGATTGGAAATTTGGGTTGTGAAAATATTGCCCACTTTTGTATATGCTTTTATGGTAGTTTCCCTTTGAAACTTAAGACTCGGTGGTACCAAGTAATTACAAGGGCACATTTGTTTACTTAATTTTTGGATAGGGATCCACTCCTATGGTTGGATTTGTATCAGGGAAACCCATAGGTGGTATCTAATTGTCTTTTGGTTTTCTTGTTTCTTATTATGTCTTTTGAGCAAGATGGTTCTAGAGTTCCTTTTTGGTGTATGTTTGGCCTAAATCGAACCTACCATTTCCCTTTTGTATTCTATAGCCATTTCAAAAAATGCCTTGTGAGGAGTCACCTCGCTTTGCTATATGTTTATGTCGATTCTTTCTCGGTCTTGACATTTGCAAGTTAGCTTTGTTCCTTCATATAATCCAAAATGTTGGGCATCTTTTAAGTGCAATGTGGCCTATATTGCCCCTTTTGGAACCTATACTAGCCTTTGTGCTATTAAGGAGTTAGGAGGAAGTCTGTTAACTGTGGACTATGAGATTGAGGACAATTCTTCGTTATTTCGCTCTATATGAGTCGTTAGTTGGTCCTTACTTGCATGTGGAGGATGGATTGCAGACGCCCTTATCCTTGGAGAAGGTTAAAAGGGTGGTTTTTGGTTAGTTAGAAACTCAACCCAGGTTTGGGTGGTTTTTCTTAGGCTTCTTCCAAGACAATTGGGAGATAGGAAGGATATTTGGAAATTCGTTAGCAAATTCTACTTCAACAAAACCTTTGTTGCCTTATCCTTATTACCTGTGTGTATAAGATTATCACCAAGATCCTTGCTAAAAAGTGTAATCTTATATCCAAGATCCTTGCTAACAAGCTTACAAAGGTCCCCGCCTCAATGATCTCCCACATTAGAGGGTCTTTCTTGCTGGCGGGTAAATCTTAGAACAGGGCAGTGAGGATTATAGGGCTCAAAAGAAAGGTCATCTTTAAGATTGACCAGGAGAAAGCCTACCATCACCTAGATTTGGTCTTTTTAGATAAGGTGATGGAGACTAAGGGTGTAACAACCCGATTTTTGATGAATCACAGGTTTTCACATACATGAAGGTAAGAACGGCGGAAAAATCTTCTTTTGTAGAACGGGAGACAAGGAATTTAAAATTCAAATATGCATTCAAAACTGACATAAAAGAAATTTGAAGGTGATACCCGCTGAGGCAAGTCAAAAAATGTCAAGGAAGACGACTTGATCTGAAGGGCATTTTCTGCAGCTGCGCGGTCTACACTCCTTTTGAGAAAAAATAAAATAACATGGAACGAGATAAATACTCAATAAACAACCTACTTGTAGGCTTTTGTCGTACTTATATTTATAACATATACTTAGGCAATGTGTTCAACTATAATCCTTGGCCAATAACTTGGCTCTTGTCTATTCTTGTTGTATAAGGCTTATGCATACATTCTTCTATTCACTTCTACTCTAGGAGTGTATACTTATTAGGCTCTAAGGTAAGCTTTAGTTTACTTGGCCCTTGTAACAAGCTTTAAGTACAAGACCCTTACATTGGACTTTGAGATACATTGTCCTTATGATGACTTTGAAATATGTGGCCCTTATGAAGGGCTCTAAATTACCTGGCCCTTATGACGGTCTCTAAGATACGTGGACTTCATGACAGGCTCTGAGACATGACCCTCATGACAGGCTCTGAGATTTAACCTAAGCCCTTTCCATGGGGTATGTGCTATTTTGTGGGGGAAAGAAACAACAAAATCATTAGAGGGCACTAGAGTTCCTTCAGCGATGTTTGGTTCCTTGTTATATTTTTTGTTTCTCTTTGAGCCTATATTTTTAGTCTCTTTTTTAATTATTTACTTGGTTTTATTTGTCTTGACGGGAAGCCCTTTTTTTCGTAGTGTGGCTCCTTTTTGTGGGCTTTTTCTTTTCTAGATGCTCGTATATTCTTTCATTTTTTTCTCATTGAAGTACGTTTTTCTGTTAAAAAAATACAAAGAGCTTCTATTTGTCTTTGGCTGGAACTAGTGGTATGCTTTATATAAGATCTTAATCACGTGCTGGGGCTTTGTTTTTTTGTTTCCAAATTGTGGCTGGCAGGTTAGTGGAAGAAGCAGATTATAAGTCCACTACCGATTTGTTTAAAAAGAGTGGTGATGAGAAGACTCTTGATAATTTCATTCCAAAATCAGATAGTGACTTCTTGGAATATGCAGAGCTGATCTCTCATAAACTTCGCCCCTATGAGGTTTATACAATTTACCTTTATCATTATTTCTGCCCATCAATGTGCTTATTCTCACGAGTTTCCCCCAAAAAATTATTGTTGCAGAAAAGTTTTCATTATATTAATCTGCTCAAAGATGTCATTAGACTGTCGATGACTTCTTTGAAAGCAGCGGATGCGAAAGAAGTTGCCTCTTCTGTCACTGCACTTGCCAATGAAAGACTAAAGGCGGAGAAGGATACCAGTAAAAAGAAAACGGGTAGGTGTTTACTACATTTATAATCCCCTTATCACTGCACTTTTTTTTTTTTTTTTTTTTTCCTGAACTATTTCAATCCTACCAGACCAAATGAATGTGATGTTTGTGTATTTGAACTGTTTCATTTTTCCCTCTTGTGTGGAACTTCTGCAGCTGTGAAGAAGAAGCAGCTTCATGTTGAAAAGGCAGTTGATGACATGATTGTCAATTCATTTGATGATATCGACGAGTACGACTTCATGTAATTGTCCCATTTGAGCATTCTAGCCCGAGTGTCATCAGTTTTTGTCCTGTGAATGGAGGTCAGATTCTTCGGCATATTTCTCCCCTTTAATACAACAATAGATTGGTTCCCGAGTGTCGTGTCTAAATAAGGTTAATGTATTAGACTTGTGTATGACATATCATATCATTATAAATTTTGCTCTTTTATTTATTTATTTTTTTTGTTTGATAGAGATTGTTCAAATCGCCTTTGAGAATGTACAAGATTGCGTAGTCATTTCAAACTCAGATTGTCAAATTGTGTATGTTGTGACGATGCTTCCTTCTACCTGAATTACATTTTCTTGCAAAAGGTCGTAAAATTTAAGGTTTTGTTGGGGAACGATCGAGAGCCAAGAACGAACTTTCAGCTAATTCCACATTGAATCCCACAATTTATTCTTGCTGAATATGAAATCGGACTTTTTAGATAACATTTCTGTGTTGAACTCAATAAATAAATAAAATCTCGATCGGATGTCTTCCTCTTTCATTTTCTTATTATTTTTAATTTATTGGTAACCATCTAGCATTATCAGAACTTTCAAAAAAAAAATATATAAAGTTTTCGTTTTCATGTGAATGTCAGCAAATCTCGGGGTTTTGTTTAATACACCAAACTTTCGTGTCAAAAAAAAAAAAAAAAAAAAATCCTTAAAACTTTCTTTGAAAAGTTTCAAAAAAAAAAAAATATATATATATATATATATATATATATTTTGTCCATATATTGATTACAATATTTTTTAGATAATTTTTTTTGTCCATGTATTTATGAACTTTGTGTTTTATCTTAAAGTCCTTTTAACTTAAACTTTTTAACTTATAAAGTGGACAATTAATATATATAACAACCTTAGTTATTTTTCATCAATAGAGATGAGTTTCAATAAGCTAATAGTAAGAATATTTCAGGAATATTTTCTATAATAATAAAGGCAGCAAAAAACCATTAAAAAAAAAAAAAGAGAGAGATCGAAAAAGGCTTTAAATAGACCGACCCATCAGGAACCATTGGCATTATAATAAAAATCATTAAGGTTGTGGGGTTGACAATGAAGCAAATAACAGATGAAAACTGCTAGGAATAATCAGAGTAATATTACTATAATTCCTTTATATATCCCCGTGGCGTTCCAGAGAAGAGAAGAGACAAGAAAAGAGGCAACCCCCCCTTGCTAATTTAAATTTACACACAACCATAGAGGAAGTGGGGGAAAATTTTAGGAGAAAGACCAAAGCACTTCAGTTCTAAGCACCCTCCCAGAGTTAGTTTCCACCAAAGCAGCAGCCGTCACCTTACAAAAACTTCCACATTCAGTCTCTTTTGCCAATGAACCAATGTAGTATTCATGGACCAATCTTTTAATGCAACCCACTTCTTCTTTTTGGTTTTGTCAGAGCCTCAAGAAACCGAAACATCCAGCGATCTAGCATTCCTGTCATTGTTTTTTATATATATCATTTTTTGAAGCTAAGAACTCAAATGACCCAGAATCATATGGTCTACTACTTTTGGTTAACATTCCAAAATCAACTACAAAGCGACATCAATAATTTCTCGAACCTGTCACCGCAAAGGTGCCTCCTAACACAGCACACAGTCGAGTTATGAAGTGGAGAAAACTTCGTCTTTCTTCTTTGATGGTCACAGTGATTGGTGAAAGATCATATAAGAAGTAAACAGCTGCAAATCATTAAAAAAGATGGTAAGTTCCAACCTGGCCTTTTAAGGAGTCTTAGTCTCTGTCTATATATACTTTTTCTATAGCCTATTCCTCATATGGTAAAGAAGCATACCGTTCCTGATAGTAAAATAATATATATCATAAAAGAGAGACCAAAGGGAATTAGGGAAGAATACCAAACTGCATTAACCAACCTGGCCATGCTCTTTCAGAGTTGGTCATAGGCGAGAAATATTCAGTGACTGAAAACTGATTGGTAGGCAACACATCTTTTGAGATATATCTATATTCAGTTGGAACAATCTGCAATGAAACATGTAACATGGTTAAATCCAGTATCCACTTGTTTATCGTAAACCGATAATAGCTAATGAGAGAGGAAGTAGACGATACGAGAAAAAAACAATTCCTAATTGGAACAAAGGCCAGCCAGCCAGCCAGATTCACGTCCAGTACAAGGATCCTATATTTTCAAAACATAAGTTTACCATCTAATTTCTCTCAGATGTCATTTAGTTCGATTTCCTGATTTTACAAATCAGTTCAGACTGCAATACAAGCACACGGGTAATAACATATTTTGCTTACCATGGAAAATAGATTTCCGTTTCCCTTAACATGAGAGGGAGAGGGAGAGGGAGAGGGAGAGGGAGAGAGTTAAGGGGCGGGGAGAGAGCCCCTCACCTCCAATTTCGGAATGTGTAGTAATATATATTAAATCATCATGCAAACTATGAAATAAAAAATTATGCACATGTATCTTAAGGCGGAACATGGATTTCTACCTTTATATAATATTTAAAGGTCCCACTTGTGTCATGTAAAATTCGAACTGTACCATCAAGAGGGTTGTGAATTCCAGGGTATTTTGGACCGAAAGACAAATCGTGAATCATGTGACTGACATTCACATGTTTAGACCCATCAAAAATCTGCAAAAACAGCAGAGAAAAATCAAACAAACCACTGGAAGGAACAAGCTTCACAGAAAGACATACGAGAAAGAGGAAGAAATAAAAGGAAACCCATCATGAATTAGAATAAGACTCCCAAAGTAGTGTCAATTTCTACGGCATGAACCATGTCAATAAATATTGGAGGGAGATCATTATCAGGGCAAAGAAAAGACACCAAACAAATGAATTACAGTGAACTAACCAATTGGGCCACAAAAATGTTCAAGCCATGAACTGAAATGTGGAAGTTCCCAGCAACCCTCTGAACATCTAGAACCCCATAAACCTGCAAAAGAGATTGCATTGGTCTTTTATCTACGAACCAGCAGGTAAATAATCTTACATGAAGTTCCCATATGAACTACCCGACAGCCTTCTCCTTCTGCTATTGCTTGCTTAACCTTTTTTACCAAAGCTTCAGCAGCTTGATCAAAGCCATGTATATGAGGATGATCTTTCTCCTTATCATGATCTGACAAAAAGTTATTTGAAGTTAACTCTATTTTGATACAAAGAGTAAAGTAAATGGACCCCATTCTATAACCACCTAATTCACAATTCAATTATACAACAGCTTAAGGCTTTTTACGAGGCCAGAACTAGACATCTGATAAGAGCTGGAGTTTGTTCATCAACAAGGGTACAGTGGCAAGGGAAGAATTAGAGAGCTTCCCCTTCTCTCCCAATACAGTCAACCACAAATGTCAAAACAAAAAGAAACCCTACCAGCCCTTGCTAACAAACTATATATACACCCATTCACACAAACATCCTCCCAGGCCCACTCCTAACCAACTTTCACCCAAATTATGGCCCACCCTCTCTCCTCACGTGTCTTCTTTTGTATACATATTTAATAAGAGGTTTATCACTACTCGAGCCCCAAAGAACCACCTTGTCCTCAAGGTGGAAATCTGGAAATTGAGATGCAATGTGAGTAGCATCCTCCCATGTAGCCTCGGTGACATCAGCTCCCGCCCAACAAATTAACACTTCAAGATGGAAGCATCTTTGGTCGACTGCCGAAACCCAACACTTCAGAAGGCTAGACTTGAATCAATAAATAGTGTGCCACACAACCTTTCACAATTGAGAAATATGAAATACTGAGTGTACCCTTTACTCCTGCAGGCAGAGATAAATTATAAGCCACCGAATCCACTCCCTACTATTCAAAATGGTCCAACATACCTACCTTGGGGCTAGTTTTACATTGATAGGCTTTATCAAAGTTCCTTGTCTAATACAGATTCATAACTTCAAATACACCCAATCTCTAACCTCAAACGCAGCCTCCCTTTGCTTACCATTTGCCACAGTAGTCATGTGTTGTTGACTAGACTTCTTTAGGACATATAACTCAACAAGGAACCCCTGTTTCTTTTATTTCCACGATTTCAACAAGGATTTCAACAAGGATTTCAATGTTACTTGGCAATGCACCAATGTGGGATCGCCTTTGAGAAGGATGTTATAGATTTACCTGGCGTGAATAGCTGACTCCAGATTTTGCTGATTCGTTGAGATATCCCCCAAAGTAATGAGCCACTGTGTGCACAAAAAAAAAGGCACTTACTAAAAGCATTCGGCAAAAAAAACTTGCACTATCATTACTTCCCCCCATCGTTAACACAACCGGCTTGCAGGTCTCTATTCCATGCATGGAAGCTCAGATTCCAAGCATCAGACTATAACCCTCTGTTTCACTCATGGGCAATTTCAATTCCTCCACCAAGGATGAGGAAATAAAATCGTGTTGCTTCACTGTCAAGTCAATACCACCACATCTTTAGACCCTATAGTTCCCTAAACCTTCTGTGTTCTTTATGATCCTAACCTCATTTAAATGGTGGTGTTTTGGATTTTCCTATCCCTTCCCATTTAAACCCGACACCTAGGCAGCTAGGGTTAACAAAAATTGTATGTGCTGTACAACCAGCCCCATATGTACTCGGCTTCACATTAACAGCTGGGCTTGGGCTTCCACACTTTGGATTCAAGGAAACTCTCCTCTTCCTGATGAAACAGTTTATCATCAATTTTCTAGGTCATCTCCATTTGGAATGTCAGCCCAGCCCAATCTGCATCTCTACTTCGATATCCTTGTGCAAGTCATCAATGAATTTCCCCTCATGGCATCGTCATCCAACGAGGCCAACGATGTTGAACACTCCTCAAATTTCTCACGATATTCCTTCATGATAATTTTCCTGTTTCAAAGCGAAAAAACATTTGAGCAATGTATCTTGTTTGTAAGCAAGAATTATCGTAAAATTAATTGTCAGAATTCCACCCAACTTTTGATCCGACGCTGTCGTTCTGCACAATTGTGCCAATGCAATGCCACTCCATCCAAGCACAACAACGTTGCATCCAATTTCTCCAACTCCGACAATCGATTAACAAAATATGCTCAACTTGATGAAGCCAACCATAGGGATTTGCACCTTCAAAAACTAGAATGTCAAGCTTCCTCAATCGCATATCAAACAGGGGTGTCAATGCCTTAACCAAGTTTGTTTCTCCACTATTTCCCCCTAAATCAACTGTTAATGTCATTAGCTCCTTTATTTTTTTTCCCAGCCATTTGCCGCTGGAGGCAATAACTGCTTCTGTTAACTTCAATCCTTCCAACTGACTTGATACCTCGTGCATCCCTTCTTGATAGCCTTAGCCACATTGCTCACCACCGCTCACTCAATGTCCACTTTCATTGTCTCTAGAACCAAACTAGTCTCCTTCTCTACATCCTGAAACTGTCATCCTTCTGATCCATCCTCACTTCCATTCACGTAGCCATTCCCAGTCATGAACCTGATCTAATACCATTATTGATAAGAGCTAGAATTTGTTTTATCAAGAAGGGTCTAGTGCCAAGGGAAGAATTAGAAAGGTCCTCTTCTCTCCCAATACCATCTTCACAATTGTCAAGCAAAAAAGATAACCTACCAGCCTTTGCTAACAAACTATATACAAAGCCATTCAGAAAAAAAAATTCTCCTGAGCCCACTACTAATCAAATTTCATCCCAATTATTCCCCACCCTCACACCTTACGTGCCTTGTCTTGTGTACATATTTAATAGGAGGTCTATCAACATCTCATGAAATAGTGGAGCTTAGCATCATAAGTATACATCTATCTGAAGGGAAAAGTCACATGTTCACAACATTGAGCTCACATGTTAGAAGTATTATATTCAAAATGGGGAATATGTGAATAAGAAAATAAATGTTATAAAAATTTCATTAAGTCAATTACTGGTTCGTTGCTATTTTAAAGAGAGAATCAATGAGACAAGATATCTTAGTAAAATCAAATGTACTCGAGAAAAGCATAAGGTTATCTTTATTTACTAAGGCTAACAAAAGGTGATGATATATAGCTAGACGTACCCAAAGCAATCACCTAAGTAGGAGTGCATGACATAAATAATTGTTGCACACCAAGCTTACCTTGTCTATGATACCTCTTGGGCTTGCATAGAAAACACGTGTCTTGAAGTTCAACTAAGTTCAAAATTGAGCAAAATTGTTTCAACAAAGAGGTCGTTGGATCCATGCCCAATGTTTCAACAAAGATTGGGTACACTGATTGACCTATTTGATTCAACAAAGAGGTCATGGGAACGATGTCCCATTGATTGGATCCCTTTTCAAGTTTAAGGCTAAGATTACAAAAGTTTGAATTGCAATTTGATGAAAATGAAAACTTTTGGATACAAATAGACAAGTTCAAATGTAAAAAATGATTTTTTTTTCCTATAATAAAGTTTCCCAGAAAAAATATAAGAAAATAATGAATTTTAGAGATAAATTATTGTGTAGACAATGGAAAAAAGGCAGTACCATGCTTGTGATCAGCGTGTTCCTTCTCCACAAGGTCAGACAGATATTCAGTGCCGATGATATGGCCATTGCTGTTAAGACGAAGCTGCAGAAAGCCAGAAACTCTGAACTGATCAGCATGCATATAGATTAGGCAATTAAATTTGCAAATTATGGTAGTAAGTGCAGTGCATAGCAAAAAATATCTGCTGGTAAGCATATACGGATATGAACATATGAATGTGAAATGTAATAATCCTAATTTGGGTTGCACAAGTTTAATTAAGATAAAGTGCCATACTCGGAAATATAAATCTATAAGTTTAAAGGCTAAAATGGTTAGATATATCTTGTAAATGTTATGATCTGGGGAAACCAACTCTGAAGTTTCTTTTCTTTTCTTCTTTTTCAGGAAAAGGAAACAACTTTTCATGCCTTCCATGAAAATGTGCCACATTCTTTGGCCAATGAAGCAAAATAGATGCTCTCTCTCTTCCCCTAAATCATTTCTAATTATGGTAAAAGATTCTACGAAGTATTTCCATAGTAGGATATGAAACAAACCTTTTTCTTTTTTGAAAATAAGAAGTTTAGTATGAGGACTTCGAGTAGTGAGGTAAAGATAAAGGCAGAGGAAAAGAAGAGAACTTCTCCCTCAGATTGAAATGGAAGCTGCAGGATTGGGTGTACATTGTGATTGAGAATGTCCTAAGAACCAGATATTCTACCGGAAATGCAAGAAGATGGATGTAGGACAATAAGAAAGCTCGCTTCAACAAAAATAAACAGAACATTGTGATAGACCCAGTGTTCTCAAGGCAACCCCAGGCGCCTGTCTATGGTGAGAGGCGAGGCAACCAGGGGTCATTGCGCCATGAAGGCAGCCAAGGCGAGCTCCATCACCAAGCGCTAGCCTGGCAGCGCCTTTGGTCCCCTTTCTGCAGCTTCACCATGCATGAAGGGGAACGCCTAGTATTCAGCATTTTTTTTTTTAGAGTTTTCTGGGTTAAAGAATCAAAGAAGATGAAGAAGAATTCATCATTAGTATTAATCTTAGATTTTCTTGGGTTCAAGAATCAAAGATGATGAAGAAGAAAAATTGAAGATGAAGAAGAATAACCAAAGTTGAAGAGAAAAGAGAGAAGAAAATTCGAAGAACCTGTCTGTGTTCAAGCTTCAACCTCACATGCCTACCACTCTTTTTAGAATTTTCATGCATCACTCACGAAGTACTAGAGTTGAGCAAGTAATAGCACTCACATTCATGCTTAGTTGCCATGTGGCAGTATTAATAATTCTAATTCTTAGCTTGTACTTTATTTACTTCAAATATTTTTTGTTCAATTTCAGTTCATTAATGTGTTATGTAATCTTGTATTTAACAACTATTTCTTAACATGTATCTAAATGCTTATTTCTTTATTTTTTTTCAATTATTTAAATAACTAGGGAATTGTTTTACCAATACTATATAATACTTCTTTGTTATTTAATTAGGTGTCCTTGCTTCATCCATGCCTTGTCGCCTCTCTGTCTTGAGGCAATTATAAAACCTGCTGCCTTAAAGTGTGCTTTGCGCTTTGAAAATGCTAAATAGACCCAAGTCACTAAAGTGTATAAACAAAAGAAAGGAAGGAAGGAGGGACTGAGTGATGTAAATATTTGAGTTTTGAGGATTGTTTTGAGCGGGAGTGTGTGCCATAGTTTTGTAGCGACCATGGGTCAATACTTTTTGGTGTGAGTTTGTTAAGGTATTACTTAAGGCTACTTTGGAAAGAGAGCGGGTATCTTTTTACATTTAGTTGGATTCTAGCTCTTGATGAATGTTGTTGCTCCAATGATTAGTAGATGGTTGATTGGCAAGAATGTTAGTTTTTCATCGCTCCTTTCCTCATGGGATAAAAAAGAAAAGATTTGATATCGTTGGCAGAAGGCTTTCACTTCAGGAGAAACGTGGCAATGCCATGAGAAGCTGTCTTTTTGAAGAAAAAGGAAGGGTGAACTCTCAATCTAATCCCTTACAACCTGGAGACGTGGATTCATAGGCTAACGCTTACAAGCTGTCTTTTAGCACCTAGATGTCTGCTCTAGCAGAATTTTTTAGAAGCTATGACAATAATTCAATCGTACCTCCATCTCTAACTCTGATTCTAAGCTCATTCCCTCATCCAAGTAAAAGAAGTCACTCATTTGGCTGCCAAGAATGATATAATTACTTGCATATAGTTATGGGCGAGAACTAAAATGTTATGGACTAAGGTCAGGAAAGCAGGTGCGAGGGGCATATGGTCGGAGGAATCACCATCTTATTAAGGAAAAAAAAGTAAATCAAGGAAAGATTGGAACTTAATATGAAGTAGCTTCTTGATGTGTGCTTCCAAAACAGAGAACCGACAACTCTTTTGATGTAATTAATCTCGCTCAGGTGCTTTCTTGTAGAATTCCTAAAGGATGTTTCTTAACATTAGATTCATAGGCTAACGCTTCAGATAGCGATAACTTTTAAATAACGGAGATTACCTACAAAACTATGATATTTTTATTAAATACATACCTATTTTGTATTTTCCTTCCATAGAATGCATTTATAAACAGAAAACATTCATAAAATTAGAATTAATCTCATGTGCACGCTCAACAAATTTCAATATACGTGAATCATAAAATGATTCACACATAAGATATGATATGCAACAATAACAAGAAATCAAATAAATCTAGATGTTTCTAGGCTGATAGATAACAATTTCCTTTGAAACAATCGTTTAATTGATGTTTCCATGAGGCATACTCGTCTACAACATTTGATGATGCAGAAATATTTGATATTGCCTCCACAATGATTGAATGAGAAATTATCTTACTTTCCATATATTTGTGTCAAGATCCACTTCATGCTTGCCCGACATATCGATTGCATCTACACTTAACACTGAAACAATAGAGAAAAACTGAGCATTTGCAAATTTCACTCCTAAGCAACTGTAAAGATATTATTATAAGCAAAGCAATATTGTGAAACCAATAGCAAATGAAAAGACAGTTAAATACCAACCGTCACAAGGTAAAGAAGGAAAAGTCATGTTTATGTGAATGGGAAGAGTTTCTCCACGTTTCAAGTCTACCGACATCTGTCATAAGCACAATGTTAAACTATCAAAAACATGCCCACCTTTAAACAGTTTTAAGAATAGGAAAAGAAAAGCTAAAGATACAATGTTAAAATCAAACTACTGGTTCAATACTTTCAGATATAACAAGATGAAGTATTTGGTTGCATATCATTAAATTGGTTGGACACGTGGATAATTAGAATTAATATTTTATTTGCTCAAAGATACTCTAAATTCAAAACTTTATTACTGGTCCTCAGTACTTCGCCCAAGAAAATTACAACTCCAAGTGCCTTTAGGATATATGTTACATCCAAGCCACAGCTTGGAGTCCAGGCAGAAGGCAATGCATGAGCCAGCAAGGTTAGGCAAGGTCTTACACCCTAACCGCACAACATGCACTGGCATTCCTCGGTTGAACTAGGCAGCAACGCGTAAAAGCACTGTATGGCAGACATGGGAAGGCAAAGCCTCCACAGTGCACATAGATTCGCACATTCAGGATGCTTAGAGGAGCTGGTGGTAAATGAGTGCACAACTGCTGAGCAAGACAGTCATGCATAGGCAGCACATGACCTAGCATTTAACATACGCATCATAGCAGATGGCAAGACATAAGAGAGGACCTTGAAGCTATGCCAGGGAGAAGTATGGGTGTACATGGAGTATGCATTGAAACTAAACATTCCTACATATGTGTTAATAAAGGCTGACAGTTTAGTTCCATAATAGGTGTGCATTTTTTTGCAATCTAGGTGAAGTTTGTATGACCTGAGCACATATGACAGGAACGTGATCTTGTCACCTCAAGCTCAGGGTGGACTTGGCATTGGCAAACTAATTAGAGATAAGAGGCCATGTTAACAAAATGGATCAGCTGGCTCTATTACGATGATGATTCTCTTTCAAGGGTGTTTACTTTGAGAATGTATACATGGATTACACATGGTCTGAAAAAAAGAACAAGTGCAGTAGCTCAAGAAGTCCAAAGAAGTTTGGGGACCTCTTCAACATATATATTGAGATGATTAGAAAACAAATGAATAAGAGGTAGTCTAGATCAATGATAGGAAAGCTAAGTGATGTGAAAAAAAAAAACTCATGAGGCATCAATTTTCTTTACCTAATAGGAGAAATGCATAGAAATATGTTGAGTAGAATTACTAACATCCACAAGGGAGTGATTACAATGTGAGGGCTGCGTGGTCACTTCAATGCCAGATAAAAAGTAGATCTATTGGAGGAAGGGATTTTAGATGGAAATATGTGAATAGGGAGGTAGTGGTACCAAAGCTCCCTCTTGCACATGCTGAAGTACAACAAAATGAAAATTAGTATGAAGACGGTTCAATCACAACTGTGTTCCATCCATGGAGAGAGAGATACGGTGACTCTACTAGAAGGGATGAGCCCAAAACTCCAAATTTCTTACAAAACTATTTTCCCAAAGAGCATTGAAGAAGTTTTCTATGAAACATTTCAAGTCATTGTTACTAATCCCATTGCAAGTTGACATAAAAAGAAAAGAATTTCCTCTTTCTAAGACAATACCATTTATATCAACTAATGAGAAGGTTGGAGGAAACTGAGAGGACGCAATCCTTCGTCACATAATTGAAACTAACCCTTCTGTCGAAAATAATTTTTTCCTTACTAACAACCAGAATGCTTATACAGCAATAAAATTTAGGAAGCTATGTTTCAAGGTTTTAGATGCTTAAGGGTATTTTATTGAGCCTACCAAGAGTTAATATTTTCTACCTGCTATGTGATCCTGTACTATGTAGGAGAGTTAAAGTATTATTGATTAGTGCTGTCAAAGCAATTATGAGGCATATGGATAGAGAGGAATCTGTGCATACTCAAAGGCAAACAAGTTAAAAGGGAGAGAAAAGATTAGGATTTTCTAAACAGTATACGGCTTCTCGGTATGTTCTTCTAAGGAATTTACCAAGTATTATTTTAACATAATCAAATCTTCAGTGGAAGGATAAGTCATTGTATAGGCTCACGGCATACCTTAATTAAAAGTTACAGCTATTGCCCAAAACACGTCAAAGTGTTTAATCTCTCATCATAGCTTTAAACATAATTGAATCATATCCACGTGTTTTATCAATATTCCTTAGGTTTTCCATTGTTGGGGCGATTCCTTCTGATACTTTTAAAGGGAAAGTTGCTGATCCTTTATTTCATTAAGTACTCTTGTATCTATCAAATAAATACAATATCCAAAGGAAAATGTTGGTACGGACAGCAAATAGAGAATGTAAACCTGATGAACCGTATATGTGGTGAGGTAATATCTCAATTCGTGAAAAAATAGTGTCGCCATTATGACCAATCCAATAACAGACACTGTTAACACAAACAAAAAAGTTATTAGGGGATCAAAACAGAACAACTGAGCATAATATATAGATATATATGTAAAAAAGAGCCAAGTAAGTAGAAGAAAGCTCCTCAAAGAGAACAATCAGGACGTTTCCAGGATAATATGACAATAAACAAAAGCAACACAACAACGGACGATATTAAGGAGATCACTTTTTCTTCCCCCACGCTTAACAAACACTTCGAATTTTCAACCATAATGACAATATGAAGTCATAAATTTATGAAAAACACATCGTAAAAGTAAGAATTCAAATAGAGAAGCGTGGCATCTTATATTACCTAGCGCCCCAGTTTGAGTTTTCTGCAACAAATGCTCTTCTGCTCGAGGAAACGCATCCAAGCTCTTAATCGTCTGCTTTAAACCCATTTTTACCTCCTATCATTGAAAAAAAACAACGCAAAAATATGTAAAAAATTATAAACAACAAACTCTGACAAACATCTTGAATATCTAAACACGGAAATTTCAACGTCTTAAATCAATGCCAAAACCAACCCTTGCGCACACAATTGAAAATTCAGAATTCGATTAGCAAAGCAAGAAGACTCAGAACTCGGAATACAGAAAATCCAGAACCTCAAAGATCCGTATCGATTACTCAAATTGGAGATCGAAATGTCACTTTCTCGGAAACCTTAATGGCGTGGATTCTAGAAATGAAATGAATCTCAAGCAGAGATCAACAGCAAGAACCAGAAATAAAAGAAAAATGTAGGAATCGAAGGCGTTGTACCGAATGAGGATGGATGAAGAATACGATCGTTAAGGTGAAATCCAATGTGAGGAATTTTGCGCGACGGAAAAAACCCGATGATTAGGCTTGGGCCTAAGATTTACTCAAATTACTCTGCCCAAAACAATTAACTAATATTACCTTTTTTTTTTTTTAAGAATTTTAAATTATTCTATATCATATAAATATAAATTCTTACTATAAAAATTAATTAAATAAATAAAAAGGAGTCTAAGTACACATTATTTGGGAAAAAGATCTGTTCTTACAGCTAATATGACATTTTCTTTTTTAAGAAAATAATTTAATATAAAACGTGTGCGCATATAACTCGACTATACACAATTGACAAATAGTCACGTTCCAATATAGTACATTTAGGGGCATTTTAGACATAGCGGATGTAGACGTGATTTTGATGAACGGTCATACACCACATATTGTCATGACATGAATAGTAAGACCTAACTACACCAAAAAGCAAGTAAAAGAGGCATAGAATTGACATACGACCATAGACAACATGCCTTGGACAAATGAGATCGAAACATCTGCCACACGCCCACAAACAACACGTCTTACACAAGTATAACCATGACGCCTGACATCTAGCCTCGCCTTGCCGTGCATTCCGACAATTACCATCATAACAACTCGCCACCAAAATACGCTAATTAAAAGAAATAAATTTTAGTTCCATTTACTCGTCCATCATCATAAGCGTGCACGATAGGTTCCAACTCTTTTGTAGGTGGAATAACTTTGAATCATAACATTGAATCATGTGAGGAATGTAAGAAAGAAAAATGTCAATAATTTGTATAGATCGTGCAATCTAACAAATTTTCAGCTTTCTCGAGTTCCCCGATCTTATATCTATCGATCAATTTGAGTTAGTTCTATCTTTTTAGAGATATGAAAAAAATTATATTATTTCATGCACTTTCAAATTAGTAAATTATACGAAATGAAGTACCATCAGGTCAGCCACGTTGAAGTATCGTTTTAGAGCAGAGCAGAGAGAAAAACGTAAACCGATAACGTGCAGGATATTCATTTGTTCGGGTTCTCGTTATGAAATATCCAAATTTTCAAACGAATTTTAAATCCATCTAAAGATATACGATGCTAATCAAACATAATGCACACACAGTATGACAATTACAATTTTTTTGGACTTTGTAAAGCGATTGTGTGACACTCACTCTCACAATTGAGTGAGTCAGCCAACTCGAAATATGGTTGCCCGTTGACATTGACAACATATATCCAAGTCTCTTTATGAAGAAGATTAGTCGAAAGTAATGTTAGAAAACAACGTTACAGACTAACAAATAAGGACAACAATCGTTAAAATAACATATAACTTCGGGTATAAATTTAGATTTTTTATAATTTATTAGGTTAATAAAGTCTAATGTGCATAATTTGGTCCTAATATGAGAAAATTTATCAATTAATTTTAGATAATTAAATAATTAAATAGGGTTAGACACGTAGGCATAGATAGTTGACGTGGGTTTCACACGCTCTCTAGAGTTTTTTTTTTAAAAAATAATTTATTTCTACTTTTTTGGCATATTACATTAATATAATTAAAAATTGATGAAATATAATTATATTTTAACTTATTAAAATATATACGTAAAGAGTTAAACACTCACGTCTTTCTTATCATGTTTGAATCTTGATATCACATAAGGAATTGAATATGAAAGAATGATCTCATGTCGTGAGGATGATCATTAGGTATATTACAGGTAAGATCTTATCCGAAAAGATCAACGCTACTCATAAAAGCCAATGCTGAAAGGTTGTCGGTTTCAATTCTAAGAACCCTAACATGGGATGTCAGCAGATATTGTCCGCTTTGACCCATTACGAACTGTTTCCAGTTTCACTGTTCAAACGCGTCTATTAGAAAGAATTTTCTACACCGTTATAAATAATGGTTTGCTCCTATTTCGTAAAATGAATTTAAAAGTATTAGTGGAAAAAAAATAATAATATATATAGCAAATTTGGATTGATCTAAACTATCAATAATGATATTATCTCAAGTCTTCTCAAAATGACACGTGTTAAATACTCAGTCGTCAATATAAATGTGCACGTGCCACGTGGGGCTCCAAGGATTTACTTAATTGCCGGTCAATCAAATGCAATAATCTATCCATCGAAAAGTCGACACCCGAGTTCTGGAATCTGCGCACAGTTTCACTATTGATTGATTCACGAGATTCGCCGGAGCCCCTAAAAAATGGCGGAGAAGTACGATTCCGATGATCGGAATGGCACCGTGCCGGTTGACGAACAAGAGAGAACCAGTCACAAGTCCAAAGGACTGCATAGTGAGGATCAGACAGTTTATGAAACCCTCCGCCGTCTGATCGCCGAGGTTTTCTCCCCCGATAAAGCTAAGGGTTCTTCATTGTTCCAGCGCGTTAAGGTCTCCATCACCGAGAATGGCCCTGCCGTTGAAAAGGCCTGCAGAAACATTGGTTGTGATGTTCTTTGCTGGACTCGCAGGGGCAGTCCTCTTAGAGCACTCCTTGTTATCTCCGTGAGTATTACTGATAATTCCAAAATTGGTGGTTGTCTGGACTTGTTTATTGTGTTTGAGATGCTTTCTGTTCAGTACTTAATGGTTAGATGGACTGTTGGAGATTTTGATTTTATCGCTTAAATGGTATTATCTCTGTTGTTTTTTGGTTCTTGTTTAATGGCAACGATTGATCTGGGCGGGATTTGTTGTTAGTAGGATTTTTTTTTTCTTAATAATGAATATTGTTTAACAATTCGATCAATGGCAAGTGCGGTGAGAGCTCGAGTGGTTGTGTTTTTGACGATCAGAGAAAATAATTTGCAGAGGTAATTTCCTCTTGTTTTGACCCGTTTGCCAATGTTTTCAGCCTTCTTTCTTTTTGTAAACTCATTTTCAGCCACCATCTTCTGCTGTTTGGTCTTCTGGAGGGAGTTGATTTCTTCTTCCATGGCCAAACGTTGCATTGGACCTGTAAGACTGTAGTGCTACTTAGGTGCTTCACTCATTCCCAATTGTTTTTGCCCTTGTTAATGGATGAGAACCTTTGAAGATGTAGCCCATTTTTCTATCCATTCCATAAACCATGGAGGGTTTTGACTATTGAATTGAGTGAAAATTCTTGACTTCGTTCAAGTATTTGCTATCCTTCAGACTTTTTCTTTTCTTGTTTCATCTTGAATAGACAATATGATCTTTTTGATGTCTAGTTTCTTGAGTTTTATTGTTTGGTTTCCCTGTTGTTGCTACCTATCAACTATGTAAAATTGGAGCGGTTTTGTCTGAGATTGTTTTGGGGCCGGGCTCCTTTGCCTACAGCTCTTAGGAGCTTTGATTTCGATAGGAGTGCTTGGTTCCAAAGATGGTGACAGGAAAAATGGAATTTTTTGTTCATGAGAGAATAATATATTTAACCCTTTTAGTGTAGGGGCATAGCCTAGAAGGATATACCTAATACCCCAAGGGTCAAGTTTACTTCTTCTAGGAGTGTGATTATTGAAAAGATTTAACCCTTTTGTTTTAGGGGTACTCTCATGGATGGAGAAGATACGTGAAAGATTTTAAAATTTCTAGATTCCGTATGGAGTTCTCTAAAGTTCTTTGTGATTTTGACTCATTTTTTATTTGTGCCAATTGTAAGAGTTGTTTATACCCTTTTGGCATTGTTATGGGTCGTTGATATCTCACCTCCCCATCTCTGAGGATTATGTTAATGAAAATTTTTCTATCTAAAAAAAATTATAAATGATGAGAAATTGATAGATATTTTACTAACAATGGAAAGAAAAAGTTCTGGCTCTTGAGGTTCGACTCAAGGAGGGTGCAACTGTTGGAAAGATATATATAACAAAAGTCGAGGGTACCAAATAGGTTTGATGCTGATGAATGATATGTACTGTAGTGTAGGTCCTCTGACTGCTTTTATCTGTTTTATATCTGTTGCAAGATTTTTGTTGTAATAGTCCTCTCTCTCTTTCAGACACAGACAAACTGAAGTCTTTTTATGTTCTCACCAGCTCCCTTCTTATTAGTAGTTACTTACATTTGGAATTGCTGCAGGTTGGGACAATTGCTCTTCTTGCATTGACGGGATTGCTCATCTTTCTGCTATTCTTTCTGGCAGCAACTTTCAACGCCGTTGTTATTTCTCTTCTTGTTTCCTTGGCTGCAGTTGGAGGCTTCTTGGCACTTTTCTTTGCTTGCATAACGGCTGTTTACATCGGAGCATTAACAGTTGCTTTGTTTGTTATATCCACTGCAACAATCTCAGCAATTGTAGCAGTGGTGATCGCCGCAGGTAGCAATGATATCTACTCTTATCTAAGCCATGTTTCTCTAAAACCTCTTAACCTGTTGATATGAATGTGTACATGTTGGTTTGACATGGTTCGGTCTCCTCTTAAGGAATAACGTGTTCATCAGTTTGCAGCTTTCTAGCTATATGCTTCTGCTTTCTCTTTCGTTGGGGTTCTCTACCACGAATTGAATTGTTTTCTGAATCATTTGTGTGCATTTAGCTTAATGGTATGGACGAAAATGTTAGGACCCACGAATCTCCACAATGGTATAATATTGTCCACTTTGAGTATAAGCCCTCGTGGCTTTTCTTTTGGTTTTCCCAAAAGGCATCATACCAATGGAGACAATATTCATTCTTTATAAACTCATGATCAACATTTAATTAGTCGATGTGGACTCCTTTCCCAACAATTCTCAACAATTCTCCCCTCGAACAAAGTACACCATAGAGTCTACCCTGATGCCTATGAAGCCCTCAAACAATCTCCCCTTAATCGAGGCTCGACTCCTTCTCTGGAGCCCTCGAACAAAGTACACGTTTTGTTCGACACTTGAGTCACTTTTGACTACACCTTCGAGGCTCAGAACTTCTTTGTTCGACATTTGAAAATTCTATTGATATGACTAAGTTAAGGGCATGACTCTGATACCA